CTCTCCTGCCAGTTGGGTCGCAGGTTGAGAAGGGATGTGAAATAGTGGGAGTCCTGCCCTGTGACAAAACAAATTAGGCAACTCCAAGCCCTCCCACACGATAGATGTCTGCGTTAGGGAGCCAATACCAGGTCTGAGTCTGGCACAGTGCCTGCCACACAAGTAGGAGCCGGAGAAACACCTTTTTGACTAGATGAAGACCCATTCATCACACAGTAATGAGGGTATAATTATCACTGTGAGTTCTTTCACTACCACATTAACTTTTCTTTTGAAATGCTTTTGAGTTTGTTGTCCCAATGTACTATATTGTTTCATTCTGAGCCCTCTTCTGCCTTACACATAAGGGAGTCTGTGCTCTTTTCAGCCGCCCTTGGTTGATGCCTGTCTTGTGTATGGTGGAGGCTGGTGCCCACCTTTCTGGGTTCTGAGTTCCATGGAAGAAACTAGGGGAGGTTCAGCTCAGAGCACAGAGGACTCTTGAGGGCAGGAAACAGTCATGGGAAGAAGGACAGGTCTTTGCTTGGTGCTCTGGTTAGAATTAGGGAGCTACAGGGGGGTCAATGTCAGCTCAGCCTAAGGGAAGACCTTCCTTCTCCCACTGACAATTGATTTTTCATTTTGCAGTGGGAAAGTAATAATGCAATACAAAACAGAAGACTGAAAATGTATTTAAATAAAATATACGCCCTCCATTATTCCCCATTCCTATTTCCTTGTTATAGGTTACAGCTTTGAGGTATCTATTCATTTATTAAATATTTTCCAAGGGCCAGAGTGTACTAGGCTCTGTTCTGGTTGCTGGGGATATAAAGGTGAATAAAAACATCTCAGGTCCTGTCCTCATGGGGTTTATATTCAAGTGTGAGTGTCAGACAATAATGAAGAAGACAAATAATATAAAATATAATGTGGGGAGTGCTAGGAAGAAAAGTGCAGAATAAGGGACTGGAGAGCTCTGGGTGGTCAGGGAAGCCTTTCTAAGGCAGTGACTTTGTGCAGAGATTTGAGTGACGTGAGGGTGTGGACCATGCTTGTGACATCCCCCCCCCCCACATTTTTCTCTCAGAAATTGGACCATACCATACATACTATTTTGCAACTTGTTTTTCTCAGTTCACAATATAATGTCGATTTCATGATAATTCATAAAACCCACCTTCATTCATTTTTAATGCTGCACAGAACTCCATATATACATGTACATATATATATATACTATATAAATATATATATATATATATTTAAAGGGGGCTCATATCATAGACATTATTTTTTTATCACCCCAGGTGCAGAGTAGAGACCAAGTGTCTCATTTTGGGAAAATTATATGATGCAGTGACATGACCTGGGAGACAGGAACCTGTTGGAATATTTTTCACCCTTTGCCTAAAGTTTTTTTATAAGTGATAAGTGACTTCCAGCAGCCCCTTGATTCTGTTTTCTCTTCCTTCATTCCCCCATTTTAGTCTTATTCTGTCCCTCCTTCTGCACTCCTGTCCTTCGAATCTGCCTCCTACTCTGGGTCCCTTGGGGCACAGCATAGAGGGGATGGTTCTTATTTATGCTATTCTTCAATTCCTCTGGCTTCTCTCTAAGTCATTTTTATTTGGGACAGATTAAGTCAAAGGACATATCTCTGGCCTAGTGTGGCCCTCGCCTGGGGGAGGTGGTTTTGGTGTATGGGATGCAGTGATAGTGACCCCTCCTTCCATCTGGAGTGCCTGCCCAGAGGGTCATCTTGGCTCTCTTTATCTGTCACCTTTCTGCTTTCGTGGATTATATTCTCTCACCCCAATACATTATACTCATTCATGAAGTTAATCAATCCAATATTTGAGCTTCTCTGTTCTATTCTAGGTTTCATGCTGCTCCTTAGGTAACTAAAATTGACAGTTTTTTCCTTTATGAAGAATATGGGTTAATGAAGGAGGAGTGTGGAAGGAGAAAGATAGCAACAAAACACACACAAATATATATATGTTTTTATTGTGTTAAGTGCCCTGAAAGGAAAAACAGGACAAACCTAACTTTGATTAAGGGCAGTTGTCAGGGCCAGCCTCTCAGAGGAAAGAGCCTAGAGGTTGAAGTCTGACGGGGGACGAGGGGCTGCCTAACTAGGGAGGGGAATAAGGAGGAGCAGAGCAGGTGGGAAGCCTGGCCTGGGCCTGGGATCAGACTCAGTGTGCCTATCAGAGAGATTGAAATTGGCCAGTGAGCCTGCAGCTTGCAAGTTGGAGAAGAGTGACAGGAGATTGGGAGGTGGTCTGGCATCCTGTCATGCCATAGATTTATTCTAAGTGTTGTGGGAAGGCATGAAAAGGTCCTGGGCAGTGAAGTGACACAGTCCCATTGACATTTTGAAAAGATCACTCAGGCTGTTGCAGGGAGTGAAGAGTAGGCAGCAAGAGTAGGCCACTGGAGGAATCCAAGGACAAATGAAAGTGATTGGACCAGGGCGGTGGCAGTGGGGAGGGAGAGAATCAGGTAAGCTTGAGATGTAGATTCTACTCCACAATTATCATCATGCAAATTGGAGGAGACTGGGGGGCAGTGGGGAGGAAGAGGACATTTAGTCTTGGGGAGGGCGTGGACACTGGGGACTTGCATTACCCACTCACTGTTTTGAAAAAGAAATGAAAAAAAAGGAGAAACAGACCATCTCATTCATTGGTTTTCTCCATGGATAAAGGGGGCTGTGGGCTCTGTAGATGGGCTGCTTTTGGAGAGTTGCTGCCTCTGAGGAGGAGGCAGGAGCTGGGAGTGACAATGATGCTGAGCGCTTACTATGTCCAATCACGGAGCCCGGCCTTACACCCTTACTGCATTGAATCTGCGCCTCCTCACTTAGGGGTGGGTACAACCATTGTTCCGTTTTACAAATGAGGGAACTGTGAGCTGTGAGGGGTAGCACCTTGCTCAAGGCAACACAGGTAGTTCTGTCTGATTCCAGAGCCAGTGTTTTTAACCACTGTGCTCTTCTGCCCTTGAAATGTAGGCATAGAGCAGTGGTTCTCAACCTTCTGGCCCTTTAAATACAGTTCCTCATGTTGGACCCAACCATAAAATTATTTTCATTGCTACTTCATAACTGTAATGTTACTACTGTTATGAATCATAATGTAAATATCTGATATGCAGAATCAATGGAATAAATATCCTTGAGTGAGGATTAACAAAACAAAAAAGAAGTTAAACCTCAGTAAAAAGAGTAAAGGGTTTACCGGCAGTGGTTCTCAACCTTCCTAATGCTGCAGCCCTTTAATACAGTTCCTCATGTTGTGGTGACCCCCAACCATAAAATTAATTTCGTTGCTACTTCATAACTGTAATGTTGCTACTGTTATGAATCGTAATGTAAATATCTGATATGCAGGATGGTCTTAGGCGACCCCGTGAAAGTCATTTCAACCGTCAAGGGGGTCACGACCCACAGGTTGAGAACAGCTGGCACAGAGGCTCAGAGTTTAGGGAGGATGGAGTTGAGTTTTTAACTTTTTTTTTTTTTCATTCGTCCCAACGACTGTACTTCTCATTCCTGTTCCTCACGTGTCTTATACATTGGGACACGTTGGGCCTTCTATCCCGGGAGCACTAGTACCGCAGAGCTCATGGCCTGGAGGGAACAGTTCCCTCCGAATCAGACAGGCAAAAACTATAGGGGGTGGAGTGGTTTTTAGCTGGGGCTTTGACAAAGGAAATACAATTCTTAGTATTGCTTTCCGAACATATGGGAGACACAGAATTAGCACCAAATTTGGAAGCTGACTCTCTTCTCAGGGATATAGTTACAGCAAGGAAAGAGACGTCCCAACTTTGGTGAGAGACTCCCTATGCAGAAGTATATCTCTTGGTCCTGAAAGTGAAGTTCAATGTTTGATTCTCTCTGGCAGCTCTAAATTTAGGCTCTGTGATCTGTGATTCACTAAGTCAAGTGTGTGTGTGTGTGTGTGTGTGTGTGTGTGTGAGAGAGAGAGAGAGAGAGAGAGAGAGAGATATCATGCATGTGTGCCTGTGTAAGAAAGTGGGAGCAAAGTGCATATTATTTGTGCATGGTAATGTATAACCCTATTTGCTTTTATAGCCTGCCCCTGTGGACAGACAATGTTTTATTTGCAAACAAGTCTCAGGTGCATAGGTTTCCATTGATCATGGGTAACTTTCAAAAACCATAATTTTTTACCCTTTAGAAGCATCTTAAGGTCACAGCTGGGGTGGGACTTGGGTATGGGTGCGTTTTTTGCCCATGGCTGCTTTTTCTGATCTAATAAAGAGCGCCCACTCTCTGGGCTGTGCTAGCCTTTCGATCGACTGTCCCTAGTGCTTCCAGAAAACGTAAGTGGTGACCAGTGCAGGACACAAAAGCACAAGAGGGCATGCTGGTCTCCACTTTCTTTTACCCCGTTTCTTGGTTTGTCTTAATTATCGTGTCATACTTTTATTCTCATGAAGATGGTTCAAAAGCAAGCGCTGGCAGCTTTAGGATGTTAGAAAGCATGTGGTTGAAGAAAATGTCTCCCATAAAAGAGAGAGGAGGAGGAAAGGAATCCATTTAATACAAAATGACTGGAGGGGGAGAAATCACTCATCCCTCATTATTGACGCGTTCCACACAATTAGTGTGATCTTGAGGGAAGAACGTTTGAGCCACCCACAACCCTGAATATTCTCATTGGGTAGATGTAATAATAATGCATTTCACAGTGAGCCCTCCCAATACTGCGGGCAGTGATGGGGAGACCCCATCATAGGGCTGTCGGTCCTGGCTCCCAGAGAGTCAGTCCCTTTCTCTCCTCCTTTGTGCAGGGAGAGGTTAAGCCTGGCCATTAACCCATAGGTGACCCAAATAGAATTTTCTGTCCTAGGGATCCATTGATTGCCAGGTATGGCTTTGTGGTAATTCTAGCATTTGCAACCCAGCAATTTGAACCTTCTGTCTGTCTAAATGATGATTTTACGTTGTAATGGTTGTACTAAATCCTTTCGCTTTTGCTCCATAGCCGCTGTTGTGACAAGAAAAGCTGTGGCAACCGAAATGAGACTCCCTCAGATCCAGTGATAATTGACAGGTAGGGACCACTCTACTTTCACTGGATTCTTATTCCTCATTATAATGAGACACCTGCCTCGTGTCGCTCATGGAATGCATGTGGCCGAAATCTGCCTGTTGGTCATGACTTAATCCGCGCCGAGCTATTGCGATTCCTGGGAAAGCCATATGGAATGTTCTTTGGAGGCCTGTTCTCTTGGATTGCTCCGGTTTTGTGTCTGATTCATGCTCCTAAAGGAATATTTTTTTCCCCCGACTTTCAGTGGCTCAGTCCTCACGCTGTGCCAGGAAGCTTCAGAAATAAAATAATAATAGTTTGTGATTTATGAAATGTGGTTGGGTGCTTATAAATATTTAACTTTTATTTGAAAAATGTTTGAATCATTATCACTTTTAGCTACAGTAGTTCTGTTGGATGTAATCCATCTACATTTTAAGGTTTTATTTATGCATAAAAGCAGTTTTAAAGAGATCTGCGAACCAAGATTTTCCTACTGTTATTTCCTGGGTTTGATTGTAGCTCAGACTGTATCGTAAGTTGATTAATTTATCCTGCTTGTCTTAATTATCGTGTTTTTAAACAGATCCATATTACTAATCTGACATGACCGAGTAAATCACTGTGGAACGATAAATCTGTTTTAGTTGTTCGGTGCAATTTGAAGCCAGTATGTGCACATATTATGCAAAGCTGCATTCCAAATATTCATTTTACATTTTAATTATTGAAATTCATTGTATGGAAACATGTATGATAAACCATTTGTTACATAGCACTACTCATTGAGAGTTAAATGGCCTGGAAGGTTTATAGATGCTGTCGGTTGTCAGCTAGGAAAAGAGCTAGCACCCTCCACTAGCAGGAAGAGAGTCTTGTAAGCAAGACTGATTCCTCATTGCAGGGACCTACAGCTGAGCAAAAGTCTCTTTTGGAGTTTGATGATATTGTTTTTTGACAATGCCCCCCCCCCTCCCCCCACTTATCTGTCTTCACAATTCTTTTTACCATTTAGGGACTTACTTGCTTTATCATTTTTTAGTGAACTGGAAAGTGTTTGCTTCATCATAATTTATGACAAAAAATTGGTTGTTGATTTTGACATATGTGGTTCTTCAGGCTTAAGCCCAATTTCGTTTATTTTTATATTTTAAGCCCAATTTTGATTGCCCAGTAGCTTCCTAAAGCTCACATTTCAATCGGATATTTTACTTAAATATTTCTCACTAATGTTCACTAACAACATACACTTTTGCCCGATAAATAAATATGAATATACTTGATTCAAAGGCAACACAGGTAATGTTTGCGGTGTAGTGAGGTAGTGTGCTGTCTATAGAATTAGAATGGCATATTCATCTGAGACCGCAGGCCTGCAATTGATATAATATTTTTTTCTGCAACAGAAGATAGATCTTCAAATAATATACAACAATGAGTATCACCTTTGTGCTGTTTGTTTCATTTAAATACACCTTTTCAAAATACCACTTCTTATTTTAAGTAAGTTTTTCTTACTCATCCATTAAAAAGAAAGTGTTCTGATCAAAGGACCAGCCCAGATCGTCCCCCCAAATTTGAAACTACGCATTTTGTTCTGCTACCCAGTTCCTTTTGGTTTAGATGATGACAAGAACTTACCTTGCCACACTCAATGAAAACACTTTTTTTGCTTGTGAATGGGTTAAGCTTTTAAGTTCTTCGTTTGGTTTTAAGCTGTGACTCTGATATAGAAGGTTGATAGGAGTGTGGTTTGAATAACATTTGATTTTGACCTGTTCCTGTGGGTTGCGATGGCATAAGAAACTTGACTCAGCAGCACTGTAATTAGCCCGGCCCGTGTTTTTGAAACAGGATTGTGTTACCTGGATTGCATTAGTGTGGCTTCTATTGTTGCCGCTTTGCATCTGTCCCAGTAGGGTACTTAAAACCTTTTCTTGGCTGGGGTAGTTCAAACAATTTAGGCAAAATAAGTATGCACTTTATACTGTTGGTGGCTTTCGAGATATTACTCACGACATTTATCCTTTTCCTTTTTTTTTTCCTTTTTGGTCTGACAAAGTAGAAAACTGCGTGTAGCCAGTGTTGGTCTCTTAAGAGAGGAGAATTTTACAAACAGCTGAAACCCAGTGCGTCTGCACACGTCCAGCATATGTTTATTTGCTGGCTGTTGCCACTGTCTCCCGTGAACTCCTTTTAAGCAGTGATGCCAGCTGATATGCAAAAACCCATTTAACTATTCTTTATTTGCATCTGAGTTTTCAGAATTTGCTCTTCAGTTGGCCAAAGGCTTTTAAAGCTCCAGTCTTGTCTATGCTGACGTGTGAAACTTCCATTTTTAACGACGAGAGAAGAGAATAATAATAAGAGCTCACACACAAGGAAGGGCAAAATAGAAAAGATTTTTCAATTCCATACAATTGCAAAGAAAAAAAAAATGAAGACAACGGTGTTTGAATTTCATAGTTTCCAATTTGGTTCTATATTACTGATTGCATAATATCTGTGTTACACGCTTAGGGTTTGATTTGTTTTCAGATTTATGGATGTGAATCCCTGCATATTTAGGAAAAGTAGGTTATGGGGCCTGTATTCAGTAGCAGTAGTAACTGTTTTTACAAGATGCACACAGTATGTAATTATAGAGCTGAGGGTATAGGCAATCGTTGTGTTAGGATTTAGCATAGTTTTAACCCACAGTTACCTTTTGGGCACCAATACTTTTTAGCTCCCTTTGCTTGTCCTTCGGATTTTGGAAGAACACTGCTGAAAAAAAAAAGACTTTAAGCAGTGGTTATGCAGGGAAACTATTTATAGGGGAGATAGAAGAGGCTCTCCGGTCATACGGCAATGGTGCAGGGTAAGCTATTTCTGTGTTGAATTTTGGCTATATTATTTGCTGCCAGTGATTTGGGGACATCAGCTTGGCACAGTCTATCCAAAAAGTGGAATTAACAAAATCAGCAGTAGCACACTATGATGTAGAAAATGACTCCTTTTACAGTTGTGACAATTTGTCGAGTCACTTCGAAAAGCTTGTTGGAAAATTCCTGCAAACGTAGAAAGTGTGCATCTGCAGTTGACTGCCAGGTTATATTTTAAATTTCTGCCTGATACCAAATGGCTGGATGAAGAGTGACAAAACCCAGGCTGTGCCCAGTGATCCAGATATTTGGGCTGTGTAGACATGGGAAAAGTCAAATGTCTTAGGTTTAATAGCTGATGACCAGGAACTAATAATAGCAAATTTCATTATTGTTGAGGTAAAGGGCTATGTATAGTAATTATTGTTAAATAAAAAGCAAAACAATGATTTGCAGTTATTGAATTACAGTGGAGATTGACTTAACATATTCACACAGTAACTCATATTTGAATTTAAAAGGTTTGCAATAAAATTCATGTTTAGAAATTGAATAAATTGTAGTTTTATTACCACATTGGATATCCTTGTGTCCTAACCTTTTTCCTTGGAGTTATCTAAGTTCAATAAATAAAACCTCATTAGAACTATTCCCATTTCAACGAGTTTATTAAATTTTGCAGGAGTAATTAGCATAAGCTGTGCTAATTTTTCTGGAAGACTAATGAGGGAGGTTCTTAATTAGGTTTACTTCGTAAGAATCAGAAAAGATGATAATGACAAAAGTCACATAGGGTAGTCTGAATTGGGAACCCAGTTTTTCTGAATCTGTAAAAAAAGCTTCCACTTTCTAGTTGCAAAGTTCTTTATAAATGCTTGAACTGAATATATTAAATGTGCAGAATGTCATTCCGTATCTAGTTGTTAGGATTACCATCCATTCTTAGTTTGCTTCACAAAACTCTTTATTTTTCTACCCTTGACTCACTAAACTATCTTTAAGCAATGACATGGATGAATACAAGTGGTCTTACACAAACGTTTCTTTCTCCAAATTATACTGCAGGATTCCTTCCACATGGAGCCCTAATATTTCTCGCCAGATTTGTGTCACCTATTGTCAGTAAAGCAGGTTAGGGGATGACTCAATATTTGTGTTTTTTTTTTTCAATTTTATTCTATCAATGTGCTTGATAGTCTAGTTAGGCCACTAAATAAAAGGAAAAAATAAGAGCTCAATTCTTTATTTCCTTGTACTGTGGATCTTGAGCAGTTAATAGTGATTTTTTGAAAACAGAAATAATACAAGATGAAATTCTTCCTCAAATTATCTCTGTCTCGTGTGAATTTAGACGTAGCCCTTTTGGGATATGCAGCTCAAGCAACCTGCAAGTTTTAAGTTCCCCAGAGCCAATATTTAAAGCATGGATTTTTAAAGCTTGTCAATTAAGATACCTCTAAAGATTTTGGGTTTGCACATTGTAACCTTAACAGATTTGTCTTTATTTTCCACTTACACAAATTCTTGTGTCTATGTTTGAGATGAAAGCTTTGACATGTAACATAAAAAATACATATCGATTTCATAGAGTGAGAAACATAGTCTGGAATTACTCTTCTTCCACTTACCCAAGGGTCCCCTAAAAAGAAAAAAAAAAGCCTAAGATCTTCCATATCTAGATCGCTTTCATTTAGGTAACAGTAATTGGGTTTGTTTTATGTTTATTGGTTGAAAAATGTTCAGGAGTAAAAATATTAGGATGCTTATTTTACCTGTTGATTTTATAGACTGTATAGAAAACCTTAACCATGTCAGGGTTGATCAAAGAACAGATTTTATTTACCATCTACATCTAAGAGATATAAATACTGTGATAGTACATTTCATAAAGTGCAGTGTTATCATCAAGCTAATTTCTTGATTGAATTGATCCCGATATATTTATATAACACGTATGTTCATTTGTATAACAGGAAAATAATATTAAAACTTTAGAATTAGCATATAATTTTGTGGTTTTTTTGTGTTTTTTTTTTTAACCATGGAGCAGAGTGGGGTATATCCTAATTTCTAAATTCACAATCATGAGGTTGTGAAGGCATCTGGGCCCCTCAACAATAAATGACTTCCTTCTGTCTTTTATTAACAGAGGTAAAC